ACGTATACAGGAGCTGAACACAGGAAGTAGAGCAATCCTTCTTAATTCGCTTGATCCATCCAGAGCTCCTTGTAACTGTAGGAGCGCAAGTGTACAGTAATGTGTTTTTTTTTTTTTCCCATGGGATGAGCAGTGACGACACATGGGATCTGGAGAGCTGGGGCTGGACAGTGCTGTGTGTATTATACCTTTTTATTTTTTATTTTGAGCTGTGTTTGGATGTACTTCTAGAAAGCATTAGCTTGAATGCTAGTGCTGTTTTTGGTATCGATTTAAGGCTGGAACTTTAACAGCGGTAAGCTGACAGTAATTATACATTGTCAGGTTACTGTTTAGCATGTTTTACTCAGCAGCTGCTGTCTGAATGTCCTTTGTCACACTGTCAGAACTCAAGCTAGCAGAACAGCTCCAAAGTTCACAGACATGAATCCTGGGATTGTTCCTATAGAGGGATGGCAGTTGGTGCTGTCTTTGAATCATTGGCTTGAGTTTAGAAATGGTGGCTGGGCACAGCTAGTGGAAAATGACCAGACCCATTGTTTTTTTTTTTATAAATTTTTACTGGATTGCTTGGATTTTTTTTTTTTTTTTTGTGGGTTGAGAGTTTGGTTTTGGAGTTTTTCTCTGTAGTTTTAATGTGTACCAAACTCTCCTCTTTGCTTAGTGAGTGTTTTTTTTTTATTTATTTTTTTTATTTTAATTATACATTTATGATTTTATTATTGGTTTCTTGTTAACTCTCAAACCCCCTGCCCTCACAAACTCCATTTTGTGAAACCAAGGTATAATCCAAATGCAGAATTTGATATTACTGTCATGATTATTTTATTGTATTCGCAACCCCTATTTAAGAGTGTTGTCACACCTGGCTTGTTTGGACCATTTGCTTCAAACGTGGTGCTTTTTCTCTTTAGTTTTTGTTTAGGCATATGTAAACACTGCGGTCACACTCTCTCATCTATAACAAAACAATCAGTTTGATTACGTGAAGAATAATGGATGATGGACTGTTGAATTTTTTAAAAATAATGCATACCAAGGTGGTAATGCAGCCACAACACAAAGCGAAAAATAATTTGGTTAGTTTTTCCGCTTAAGCCTGGAATACACTACAGCTTTTAAAATCTGAATAGATTTTAGAACGCTAGGCATCATACACTTAAAGGGGTCATAGGAAGCAATTTCAAATGTTCCTTTCTCTTGTATCAATGTATCGTCACGAGCCGCAGTTTTTTTTTATATATATATACTCTCAAAGCCGTGATTCCCATTCACCTCCATTATAGGACTGACGACCGCAATGGGCAGAACAATAAAAGTTACCCCTAAACGAATGTGTTTAACAAATCATTTAATGTAAGAAATGTCTTAGATTATTGGCAGCATAAAAAATTAAACGATGTGACAGCAATGGGCAGAACAATATAAGTTACCGCTAAAATCCATCGAGCATATGAACTTGTTGCCCGAAACATATCAACAAGAAAGAATGAAGGCTACCCTGTAAAACAACTGCAATCATGTGATAGAAAATTAC